TGCACCGTGTCCGAATTGTCATTGCAAGTTCCTCCTCGTTTCCATGCCACAGTCCCGTGGGAACCCGGTAGCCGGGAGCACCCCACCATCTTGCATGACTCGCTCCCGCTCACTTCCTTTTGTACCGGTATCTCCGTGAGCTACCGGAACCGATATGTTGTCGTGGCATCATTTTCGGATATGTTGCCGTGGCACCATTTTTGTTTCGCCGCCGTGGCACCTTTTTTCCTTCCGCCATGGCGACTAATGCTTCTTATCATGCTTCATGTTATCGTTTTCATAAAATTGCTTAAAACTTGTATATGTCATCCGCATCATGATAACAACATTTAAAATGTTTAAACTTGTTGTTGCATTAAATTGCTAAATGCATATGGGGATTTACCGGATTTGTTGTTTTTATATCCGACCCCATTTAAATTGTTTAGATGGTATAGTTTATATTATGCTTCACCTCTTGCCATGTTTAACAACAGTTAATATTGTTGGGTAGCTTAAACGAGAGATAACTAAATAATTGATGTGGTGTTCCGTCAACATGCACCTCGTTGCATATTGAGCTCCACTTAACTTGTAGTATTGTTTGTTGCACTTTGCCATGCCATGCCTCATTAAACCGGACATGCATCATACTTGTTTGCGCATCATGACTTGTTTATGCTTGTGTGTTTACTATGTTGTTTGTTTCTTTCCGGGTTGCTTCTCTCGTTAGCTTCGGTTTCGTTCCGGAGTTGTGAGGATTTGTTCGTCTACGACCGTTTGTCTTCTTCTTGGATTCGTTCTTCTTCCTTGCGGGATTTCAGGCAAGATGATCATACCCTCGAAATCACTACTATCTTTGCTATGCTAGTTTGCTCGCTCTTGCTATGCCAATGCTACGATGCCTACCATTTGCTTGTCAGCCTCCCAAATTGCCATGTCAAACCTCTAACCCACCATGTCCTAGCAAACCGTTGATTGGCTATGTTACCGCTTTGCTCAGCCCCTCTTATAGCGTTGTTAGTTGCAGGTGAAGATTGAAGTTTGTTCCTTGTTGGAACATGGAGGTGTTGTTCCTTGTTGGAACATGTTTACTTGTTGGGATATCACAATATATCTTACTTAATTAATGCATCTATATACTTGGTAAAGGGTGGAAGGCTCGGCCTTATGCCTGGTGTTTTGTTCCACTCTTGCCGCCCTAGTTTCCGTCATATCGGTGTTATGTTCCCGGATTTTGCGTCCCTTACGCGGTTGGGCTATAATGGGAACCCCTTGACAGTTCGCCTTAAGTAAAGCTCCTCCAGCAATGCCCAACATTGGTTTTACCATTTGCACTAACAACCTACCACCTTCCCTTGGGTTCTGCAGACTCAAGGGTCATCTTTATTCTAACCCCCCCCCCCCGGGCCAGTGCTCCTCTGAGTGTTGGTCCGAACTGAGCTGCCTGCGGGGCCACCTCGGGGAAACTTGAGGGTTGGTTTTACTCGTAGCTAGTCTCATCTGAGTGTGCCCTGAGAAAGGGATATGTGCAGCTCCTATCGGGATTTGTCGGCACATTCGGGCGGTGTTGCTGGTTTAGTTTTACCCTGTCGAAATGTCTTGTTGTACCGGGATACCGAGTCTGATCGGAACATCTCGGGTGGAGGTCTATTCCTCCGTTGACCGTGAGAGCTTGTCATGGGCTAAGTTGGGACACCCCTGCAGGGATTTGAACTTTCGAAAGCCGTGCCCACGGTTATGGGCAGATGGGAATTTGTTAACGTCCGGTTGTAGAAAACCCGAAGTTGACCTTAATTAAAATACATCAACCGTGTGTGTAACCGTGATGGTCTCTTTCCGGCGGAGTCCGGGAAGTGAACACGGTGTTGGAGTTATGCTTGACGTAGGTTGCTATAGGATCACTTCTTGATCATACTTTTATCGACCGTGCTTTGCCTTCTCTTCTCGCTCTCATTTGCGTATGTTAGCCACCATATATGCTAGTCGCTTGCTGCAGCTCCACCTCATACTTTTACCTTACCCATAAGCTTAAATAGTCTTGATCTCGCGGGTGCGAGATTGCTGAGTCCCTGTGGCTCACAGATACTTCCAAAACCAGTTTGCAGGTGCCTATGTTACCGTGCAGATGACGCAACCAAGCTCAAGGAGGAGCTCGATGAAGATCTTGCCCTTTGTGTTGTTTCGTTCTAGTTGATCAGTAGTGGAGCCCAGTTGGGGTCGATCGGGGACCTTTGTCGCATTTGGGGTTCTTCTTTTATTTTGGTTCCGTAGTCGGACCTTGATTGTATCTGGATGATGTAATGCTTTATTCATGTAATTGTGTGAAGTGGCGATTGTAAGCCAACTATGTATCTCTTTCCCTTATGTATTACATGGGTTGTGTGAAGATTACCTCACTTGCGACATTGCTTTCAATGCGGTTATGCCTCTAAGTCGTGCTTTGACACGTGGGAGATATAGCCGCATCGAGGGCGTTACATTGCCCTTACAAACTCGTTGGTTCAACTCCACAATCTTGACGGAGGCTCCCAAGTGACACCTAACCAATCTAGGAGACACCACTCTCCAAAAGGTAATAGATGATGTGTTGATGATGAACTCCTTACTCTTGTGCTTCAAATGATAGTCTCCCATACACTCAACTCTCTCTCATATATTTGGATTTGGTGGAAAGATGATTTGAGTGGAAAGCAACTTGGGGTAGGCTAGAGATCAAGATTCTTCTGGTTGGAATGGAATATCTTGGTATCAACATATTCTCTCTCAGAAAATGAATGATAGAAGTGCAGGCACGTTCTGATGGCTCTCTCTACAAATGGAGGAAGGGTGGAGGGGTATATATAGCCTCGACACAAAATCTAACTGTTACACACAATTTATCAAACTCGATGGGACCGAATAGTTAAACTCGGCCAGACCGATTTAGTTCAAAATGTGAACGTTAGGATTTTCGATGGGACTGACATGTCAACTCGGTGGGACCGATTTCATTAGGGTTAGGGCATAACGTAATCTCATTGAGACCGATCACATAAACTCGGAGAGATCAATTGTAATAGGCAAACAGAGGGCTGGTCAGGCAAACTTGGTGGGACTGATCGCTCATTTCGGTGAGGCCGAAACGTTATGAAAAGGAAACAGAGAGTTTGCATTGCAAAGTTGGTGGGACCGATCGCTCATCTCGGTTAGACCGAAACTTTACGAAGGGAAACAGAGAGTTTGCAATCCCATCTCGATGAAACTGAGATCCCTATCGGTGAGACCGAACTGATAAGGGTTTCTGTCTATGGCTATGTCAAATGAACTCGATGGCGCCGGATAGATCAAATCGGTGGGGCCGAGTTTGACTTTTGGTTTGGAACATATGTGGATATGATAAAGTGGTTGAGGGCTTTTGGAGCATATCACTAAGCATTTTGAGCAAGCAAGCCATTAAGCAACACCTCATCCCCTTTTAATAGTATTGACTTTTCCTATGGACTCAATGTGATCTTGGATCACTAAAATGAAAATGTAGATTCTTGAGCTTGAGCCAATATGTGTCCTTAGTATTTTGAGGGGTCCACATTCCTAGTTCATGCCATGCCAATCATTGAACTTTCTGAAATGATCATCTTGAAAGAGCATTAGTTCAATGAGCTATATGTTGTTAGGAATTATCGAAACCACCCAGGGATAGTTGCACTTTCACACCTGTGGTCCACCCATCATGGACCCTCACTACACGCCATTGCGGAACCGACGACTCGCCGACACCCGGCCCGGGTAGGCTCTTGCGTGCGAGCTGGTGTACGACGAGCGCTGCCTAATGATGATGGCCCCGAACAGGCACGCGGTCCACCCGTCATGGACCTTCCAGCCGGATTGACCATGCACTGTCCAGGCAGATTGGACAACGCAGAGCCACCCCAAGAGGCTCGCGCCGTAAGCCACTCGCCAACGAACAACCAGGAGCCTCGCTTCACCTGCGGCCCAGGGAGGCGGGTACTCCAACATCTTTTAGAGGAGTAACGGTTAGTGATTGCTTGGTAGAGTTACTGTCACAAGGCACATTATTCTTAGGTTTTATTTGTCGGGACGATTTTTTACACTGTTGGATTTTGGTTTCTAAGAAAAAATATATTTGTGTGCATCTTTTGATGAAAATTAGTCACCAGCCCTTCACTAAGTGTCGATCTCTAATAGTCTCACAACATTTGTACATGGGAGGAGTACATGGAAGGAGGCTGGTAAGTTGTAGTTTGTTGAGAACGGCAATTTGGAGCTCGGTCTTCATGGAGGCTTCTTTAAAAAAAATCAAAATTCATACCTTTTGATTTCAAAAGAATCTGAAAAAATTGTATAAGTACACAAGGATGTGATGTGTATGCACATAAAATTTCAGAATGAAAAAACTTGAGATGTGATCTGTGCAAAAAGAACAAATTCATAGACTTTGGGGATGAGTAATATCATGTGTTAAAGAGCCACACATTTGTCTTTTTTGCACGACCTTCATTTCAACGTACTTCGTCTTGAAAATTTACACACATGTGTGTTATGCCTCCATATCTGTCTGTATTTTTTTCGGAATTTTTGAAATGTGAAAATATAGATTTTGTAGAATTTTGAATTTTTCAAAAACTGGCCTCTATGGAGGCGGAGCTAGAAAAGAAAATTTCACAGAAGATTGCATTATATAGTTCCATGGCTTAGGTTAACACATTTTAGAAATCCATGTCCTAGAAACACAGTAGATCAACATTTGATATGAGTCTCCTCATTTTCTGAAGAAAAAGAAAAGGAACAAAATCCATCGCGGACCGGGCCTGGCCCAATGGGAGCCCGGGCTGCAAAGCAATCCGTGAGGGTCTCGACCCAACGAGCCATGGCCTGATCCCAGTTCCGACGGGAGGTAGGGTTAGCCTCACCCCCTTTATATACGTCTAGACGCCGCCGCCCCCCTCCTCCTACAACAAATCCCAATCTCACTAAACTTGGCGAAGCGAGTGGATTCGGCATCAGGATCACATCCGCCGATGGCCGGCAACGAGGGTTTCGCCACCAAGCGCGTGCTGGGGCGGTGCACGGCCGAAGAGATTTCCTCCAATCCCGCGCAGCAGAAGTCAGCCATCGACGGGTTCGGCACGCCGGAGCGATGCGCCACCGAGCCTACGGCGTTAAACCGCGAGTATGCTCTTCTGAAAAGGAAGGCCAAGGAGGCAGATCAGGATCATGATGAAGAGCAGGAGCAGGAAAAGGAGATCAATGAGATTCTGGCCACGGCAAAACTCCCCAGACGCGCTGATGTTGTGTCTGTGGCCGCCGCCGAGCCTATGGTGGTCGACCCCTTCCTGGAGCAGGGCATCGCTAAGGCAACGTTTTCTGGGCCTCAGGCTGACGCAGAGATCGAGGAGCCTGTTTCTGAGCTTCAGGCTGAGGCGGAGATTCAGGAGCCTGTTTCTGAGCCTCAGGCTGAGGCTGGGGAACAGGATGTTTATGCTGATGAGGATGCCGATCTTTATTATCAAGATGATGCTGACTATGATGGTTATTATGATGAGGATGAGGATGACTATGAGTCTGAATATGACGATGATGATTATGAATCTGAATACGAGGATGATCATGATTATGACTGGGAGTCTGAATTTGCGAAGCACCGGCCAGTGGTCAGGGAGACGTTGTTAAACTTTCCCGAGGCCGCCAATCTGGAACCTCAAGAGCTGGATGCCGCGGTGGAGAGGGTCCTCGAGCAGTCCAAGCCCGAGTACAGGGACGTGGCCGCCCCAGGCAAGGTTCGTCTGCTGAAAAACGACATAAGGCTGATCTTGGCCGACAAGTGGGAGCCCCCCAACATCCACATCCTTCCGTCCACAATATCCCCCGCTGATATGATCAAGAGAAGCGAGGAGCTGGACAAGGAGCTGCCGCCGGGGAACGACAAGGAGGCCGATGACAGGTTTGGAGAGTTGCAGGCCAAGGTCCGCAAGGATCTGATCGAGAAGGGGTACGCCGAGGTTGACGAAGACTACTATGACAACAGTGGCAAATTTTGGGAGGAGCTGAGGGAAGAGTGGAACAAGATTGACTTCAGCCGCTTCCGCTTCGCCAGCAGCGAGGACGGGATCCTCCGTTATTCCGAAGAACTTGGGGATTTTATATGATGCTGCTGAGCCTAGCCGTTCAACATCATATCTGTCCCATCTATTCAAGCTTGTATGCAGCAAAGTTGGTTGGTTTCTTATTAGCTCGTTGTGCCCATCTGCCTTATTCACCTGTCCATGTTTATTATGTTGATACTGTGATCCATCTTATGTTGAACCTATGGTATGTGTTCGCCCGGCTCTGGTAAATTCGACGCCTATAATATAACTACAGTACAACTCTCTGCTTGCCATTTGATTTGGACCACGTTTTGGGGGAATTGGGTATGGTTTCCTAGTCGCGGCTGATGATTAATCTTGTTCTACCATCTGCATCTTAAAAATTCGTCACCATGTGTTGTTTGTGGCTCGTCCCTGTTGGCATTCAAGATTTGGGCATCTATAAAACTCATCTTCTATATCGAACGAAATTTATTATGTGATTTGACTGATTTATATAGAACCCCAACACATTGCCATTTGTGTCACGATAGAGTTGAGATGGCTGTAGGACAGTGCAGCAAGGATCGTTTTGGTGTCTGTAAGTCGCAATGCTATGATTGGGTATCATTCTTTTCTGCTGAAGTTCACTTGTTCGTTACAGAAAAATCATGAACTTGTCATAATTTATTTATTTATTGAGGGGAATGAACTTCTCATAATATGTTATGTATGAAGAGTGTCAGATACTATTTGACTTTTGCATACTGTGTCCTTGTGGTTGGAGCTTGATCCATGTGTTGTTCTCATCACTGAATAAAGTTTTGATCGATCTATAATGAAACATGCAACGACTGTTCACTGATTCTTGTAATTGCTCTGTGTACTGATGCGATTACAACATGTCAGGTCTCAGCACTTGTTGTATAATTGATGGTTGATGGTACTGTAACTGATTCACCTGCCTAATTCTTCCATATTTAACATACTTGCGCCCTTGGTGCAAAAAGCAAGAGCGAACCAAACACTCTCATTACTTCTGAAATGTTATATCATAAAATAACATCTTGAAAATTGTTCAAATCGCACAAATATATGTTCGTCTACACACATGGGTATGCTTGTGCACACAAGGGACAGCCACAACATAGGGCCTGTTCTGAAACAGGCCTAGCTTCTCCAAAACTTCCTAAATTCAGCTTCTCGCACGACTTCTCGCTTCTGGTGGCGACTTGGAAAGCGTTCGGCAACTCAGCTTCCGCTTTTGGTCGATACGTACGAGGCTGCCAGCCCATTTGACGGGATTGGCAGGCCAGGTTGGGGCCCAATACAAATTGCCAACGCATGCGAGAGGGAGTTCGGCAAAGAAACTTGAACCGGTACGCTGAGAATCACTTGGTGGTGGCAACTCAGCGTAATTTGCCCTCAACTCCAACTTTTTCTTTCACGGATCTGGAAAAGAGCTGCTTCCCCATCTTCTCCTTTTTTACACTAAGACAGATCGCTAGCTTCTCAATTCCAGCTTCCAGGAGCCAGAGCGTTCGCCTCAGCTTCATTTGTGAAGTTGAGGAAGCTTGGAGCTGGAGCATTGCAGAACGGGCCCATAATTGGAGAGGAATGAGAATACAGTGGGAACAACCTAGAAGAAAGAACATGTTCAAACCTTTAGTCAAGATGTAAGTATCAGGAATAAGAATATAACAAAGTTAGGAGAAGATGAGAAGTGAAATTAGCAAGGTGAGCTAGCTTTTCTATACTTGTTTTTATAGGAGAATTAGAAAAGATCATAACAACCTTAACAAAGTATTGAAACATTCTATATGATGAATGCGCCTTCGGCTGCTGGTTCATCAAACTCACCAGCTTCTGCATGGTCCTCCACCTCGGCGGCTAGCAGGCATGCAAACGCGGAGGCCGTCATGGATCGGTGGTTCAGCCGGTGCCGTGTGAACCTGTTCGCCACCTAATTCCATGTGTCTCAATTATGTTTAGCACCAATGTACAATGATTTGTTTGGATGAACTCTGTTACTCAACCGAATTTCAGAATATATCGGGCAATCTAGAAAAAAAAAGTACTCCTATAGCATAAGTATCAGTCTGTTGGATAAAATGAATTTGAAATTTCCAATTCATGGAGCAATTATATTTTCTTGTACCATCTCGTGATTGTTTTGTTACCCAAGAAACTCCAGAGTTCCATACTCCAATTGTGATTGTAGTTGTTCCATACTCTATATTGTGATTGTTGTTGCATTTGGTAACTTGATTTTACATTAGAGGATTATCAAATTTCTTGCCGCCAATTTTTCTTCTTTTGTGTTTTGGTTGTAGCACCTCACCCAGTGTGCTCAGGGATTTATGTAGATTACAGCTGCTTGCTGCACGACAACTGAAGTTTATTATCTCCCTGCTGCCTTGCAGAAACTGGTGTGAGTGTACCTCGATAATGACAGAGAGACTGGGACAGACGCAGCGAACTTTTCAAGAATTGGTTCCCTTCAATAATCGGTTTCGCTTGTTGACATATTCTTCTGGCCGTTAGTATGCTGTATGTACTGATGACCTCATATCATACTGAGAAGTAATTACGGAGTTATATTTGTTAACGACCTAGTTATTGGACGAACCACTACTATAGTTCGTCCTTTTAATTGAGGATCACCTAATCTTTTGTCATAATCAGAATTAGTGTATATAACCCAGCCGTTTATTCTATACTACCCAGACATACCTATTTCATTTCATAAACCCAACTGGGATAGAATGGTTGTCTTGAAAAATAAATAAAAAGCCTCATGGTTCCTAGTGAGAACAATCCACCAAGGATTCGAGTAAAAGAAAGGAAAACTACCAAAACCGCGTATTAAACATCATGCACACCTGCTAAACATTGCAGCAGAACGGAGGTTGCAAATCATAAAAATATAAACCAACTCCTTTCCAATCTGCTCAGACAAATTGACAAATAGCCACATTCCTCTGAAGAATTTTGCTATTCCAAATTTTATTCACATTTGCTCAGATGAATACTGTGAGGTTAGTATTGCATTCCCCAAACATGGTACAAACTCCTTAGTTGTAAGTTAAATTGTTTGTACCTGTCAATCCAAACATTATATACTGTATTTCCTTTGGTGCATTACGTCCACTATTGAAGACATGCGTCTTCTTGCATTACCAAACTCTGCAAAAACATACACACAAGATCAGAAAGAATTGTCCAAGGATGCAAGGAGACATTTTGTGCTTTGGATATACACGCAATAACTGCAATATTTCTCCTTGAAAACTAAAATAAACGGACTCCTTTTGTTTCATCCTTTCTAGTACATAACCCTGAAACATGCAGCCGAAAAATTCAGATGTGGTTCCCTTTAATAACCACAAGATGCATGGCTCCTCTGCAGTATAGTAACCTCAAAATTTTCAACATGCGCGGCTCAAAATTCAGATATAGTAAGTATGCCCACAAAAAAGAACGGAATCAGCTGACAAAGGAGGGCTTCCGGCGACTGGCGCTGGGCATTGTTGACTGCGTGGCTTGCAGCAAGTGTGTCCACCACAAAGCACAGTAACATGGTGCCAAGCTATACACCCGTGCCCAAGGTTAAACCCAATCAGAATCTCTACAACCAAAAGTTGACCAATGCAAAGCAACCATCCAAACACAGCGATCAGATGAGCTTTTGCACAAATCCCACACCCGCGATGGCACTTCCGATCAAGGAGCCCTACCAGGATTCTACACTAATCATGCATACATGGAAAAACGACAACGAATTCGAATGTGTGCGATTCAAAGAGGAATGAATGCCCGATGGACCCACCATTGGGCCGCAGTTGCAGAGGCTGAGCACCACAATGGAGCGCTAGTGGTCGGTGAGCATGGGCATCCCTGCAGTGACGGCCCCATCAAAAGCTGGCACGGGCGCAAGGTTGGATCTGACGAATCGTGCGAGGATAACAGCGCCATTGCCGGTGCTCTGCATCGACTGCAGTGCTTCCCGTCTCCTGATGACCCGCATCTCCACCCCCACCTCAATGTTTGTATTCTCACTAGAGCTCACAAATCATTGCTTGGTAGAAATTTACCAACAACCTTGAGCTTCTAAAAAAAGGAAAGTAATACATGCTGGGTGGCTAGTCATATTGCCAACCAGACTTTCGCTTAAAGAGGGATGTTCGACATTGTGTCAGAACTTGAAGGCTCACTTGATACCTAATTAGTACAGCAGCAGATGACATATTAGATCCAGGAATTTATATATTCATCGGCTAATTACCAATTGGTCTGATCCCAGTGGTAGACGGAGTGGCAGACTCAAGAGTCATGAAAACAACATGTTTAAATTCATAATCAAGGCATAGATTTGCCTAAAGCTGAAAGAACAAACATAATCAAATTCTTTTTGGGAGTAAAATCATATATAAAGTGAGTTGAGCTGCAGATTCTAGAACAAATAATGAAACCGATACAAAAATAGTAAATAGAAAATAAACAAGCTGAGCGAGAAGCTGTGCCTTGTTTTTGATGCCTCTTGCAGCACATGTTTGAAAGGCTTTGCTGGTTACATCTCATTTTCTTACAGGATAACACAAGCAATGAAATGTGTAGTCCTGCATGGCACCTATGAGAATGGTGAAAAGCAATAATCAGGAGAAGGCCGTAAGTCGAGTGATATATATAGGCGAAACCAACATTGTTTAGGGTAAACAGAGGAGGCTAACCGTAATTTTGGATGAGATAAATGAAGGTAAAATAAACTGTCTTCACACAAAAATTAGGGAAGTGAGCCTAGCTCAACTGGTTGGAGGAGTGGATGTACAAACCCAATACCTAGGTTCAAATCCTTCCGGAGGCGAATTTAGGTTCCGATTTATTCTTCAGGACCAGGCTTTTCTGGTACTCACACATTTATTGAGGACTAGGCTCGGTGCGTAACCGAGATTAAAAATCCTAGTACTCATACACAAAAGGCCGTATGCATCCCTAGTTGGTGCAGAGGCCGGGGAAGTGAAATTCTCCCCCCAAAAAAGATTTTTAAAGTGGATTTTGAGAAAGCGTACGATAAGGTAAAA